ATCAGTACAGTAGTGTCGGATGCAATACTTTTATCCCGCTGACTAAATTTCAGGCGCTAGCGAAAAAAGGAAACTAAAACTAAGAGTTTGACCATCAGGGGAGAGACAACTGTGCAAAATGTTTTTTTCCCTTCAATTTGTTTAGACTTTCACTTTTTCCGGATTTATGTAGGTGTACTTTCATATTTGTTTTTATAACTTTTCTGTTTTCATAAATGTATTCTGCATACTGGTTTCAAACTCCAGGTTTTATTTACTTCTTCTAACACTCCCATCCTTCCTAAGTTCTAATGGTCGAGATATAACGAGAGAGAACCAAAATGTGTTTTTTGTTGTTGTATGCGTTATATCATAAAATATATCAACATTTAACAGTAACAACATTTCTCCTACTGTCATTTTGTTTGTGTGTTCACTTATCAGTTACTTTGGTCCGTTGTTAAAGTATATAAGAGACTTGCAGGACGTCAGTTCAATTGGTTTTGCGCTTGCACCGAGGGGGACGCACAGACATAGTATTAAAGCTTGTGTTTTTGCAACAACCAATGTAATTGGCGATAGGCTCTGTGTCGCTTAGATAACAAACTCACTTCTGTCATATCTGTTCTATCGCTGTAAGATATTACAATTTCTGTATTTTATTTTTTTCCCGAAATTTCACATCGTTCTGGCCACTGTTCCGGTCACTGGGTGTCACTCCCCTGGCCTATTATTTTCCCAAATGCGAGTGCATATTGCCACAGAAAACGAGAATGACTCTCAGTCTCGCCTAGCGATTTTCGTCTGCTGTGGTCGAGTCTGTACCACACCCGGCCAAGGTACGGATCTAAGCCAGATGGGAGTTGAAATTACGACACCCGGTGCCACGGTTGTATTTTAGAGCATGGATGTACTAGTACATCCATGTTTAGAGTAACATCATTTGGCACAGACGATGTTTATTGTTTCGTTGTCGTTGGACAATATTGTTTGGTTTATGCTATGACGAACGTAACAATTACGTCATCGTGTTAATATGGTGTCATGGACATAATATCTAGTGTAAACACACTGATACAGTCAAAGGATTGATTGACTATTGCCATGGCAATTGGATAACATATGCCAAACTAAATATTATAATTATTAACATTTTTACGAGATGTTTTGGTTACACACGATTGTAGACTTTGCTTCCATTGCTTCAATCCCCATTTACTAGACAATTGCTATAAAGCATTAACCTCACTTCACTTCGTACAATAAAAATATAACCAATTTGACATCCAAATCCCATCTTAGCCTGGACAACAAAAGGGGTCCACCCCTACTCCGCAAAGGTGAGTGTGCCACAGACTCAATGGGGAGACCAATTCCGCTGGTAGAGATTCGTTCACTAACGAATGCGACTTTGGGTGAATTTTGAGTAAGGTCTACAGGCGCAGGTTGGCACCATGATAGCGCATTAAATTGCCATTTTCATAGAGAGATGGTCGCACAGCCCTGTTGTGTAGTCCCAAACATGAATATGGCTGGCCATGGAAAACGGCAGTGTGTGCCACTCGCACTTCAGGAGAGAGGAACAGTGACATTATATGCCGCCTGGTACAAAAACAATTAACAAATCTTTCAAGCAAAATGGTGTATAATAATTTAATTGAAACCGATGAAAGAGATTTTAAAAATCAGTCAAGAAATGGGTGTATCGAATCACATATATGACAACAGAAAAGAGAATGTCTTGATGGTACATTTCTAAATCATTCACTAAGTTAACTTAAACCTTGCCAAGGTAGTAAGTACTTATATTGATGGCAAAGAAAAGACCACAATGCAATGTGACACTTTCTTAACGCATTTTCAAAAATCTACAGTTGTATAGAACGTGATCAGCGATATTAGCACCAAAAACTTAAAAAAGATAGAGCGCGCTTAAATAAAAATAAAGTTTTCTATTATACATGACGTGAGATGACTAGTCCCCATACTGCTGTGAGTTTTATAACTGTTATTAAATCTAGTTCAATAAAATGGACGATCCACAAAGTTTGTTTTTCTCAAGATGTCGCTAGAATGTGTATACAGTAGTGAGTACATATCCTATGGTTGTGATTAGTCTATATTATAAATGAAGATGTTTCGCAATGTTTAATTTTCTTTGAAATACAATATAGCTGCAAAATAAGCAGATAATTTTTTAATCAACATATAATAAAAAATGGGTACATTTTGAGAATTTTTATATCGGAGTATCAACTTCCACCGTAACACGTTTTGTGACTTTATTTTTTTTTGTGCTTGGGGATTGGGGCTTATCTTTGACACGCATTTC